TGGCATACCAGTACCTCTTAATAATTTCTTCATTTATACTTTATTGATGTTTATTTAGTCCTTTCTGGATCCAAATCCTATTACGCTTATTACAGGTAATTGTTTTCCTTTTCCATCTGTTTCTGATCATCGGTATAGGAGGCAGTTCCTGAATTTTCTTCATGGTTATTTTTGTATTATCTTTGTTAACTGTGATTATGTAACTCTCAGTAGGTAATATAAACTCTGCCATGCATTTTGCTGTTAGTCTCTCCTCTTCCACCACTGAGTTTTTGATTATATTAAAATTCTTTATATATGCCTTTGTATTGATAAATCAAGTAATGGAAGTATATTTATTTCCTTTAAATGTTATCTTTTGATTCCTGATTACCAAAGAAAAAAGAATGAGGAAGTAGGCATGTTTGGTTTTTCCTTCGTTCTCTTTTCCTCTCAGCTTTTTTCTATTTTGCTTCTGTTTGTCTGGATTTATGACACTGACTTAATGTTGTTTTAAGTATAAAAGCTGCTTTTGTTTGTTTATTTATTTTGATGAGAACATTTAATTTCTACTCTCTTACCAACTTTGAATTATACATTACAGTGGAATCCCATGTTATACGTATTAGACCTTTAGGCCTTATTCACTTTATAGCTGAGAGTTTGTATCCTTTTACCAACCTCTGTCTGTTTCCACCACCTCTCAGCCCTTGGTAACCACTTTTCTACTTTGTTTTCCTATGCGTTTGACTTCTTTTAGATTCCATATCTAACTTATACCGTGTAGTATTTGTCAGTCTGGCATATTTCCCTGAGTATAATGCCCTCAAGGTCCATCGCTGTTGTTGCAAAGGGCAGAGTTTCCTTTTCTCATGGCTGAATAATATTCCGTTGTGTGAGTGTGTATATATATATACCACACTGTGTGTATATCTGTGTCTATATACTACATTGTATATACATACACCACGTTATCTTTATCCGTTCATCTGTTATTGGATGGTTGTTTCCATATATTGGCTATTGTGAATAATGCTACAGTGAACATGGAACTGCAGATACCACTTCGATATCCTGTTTCCATTTTGACTCAATGTTCTTTAACCATAATCCTCATACATGTTTAAATTTTGACTGTATTTTAAATAGGTTGAGTCATGTCTTTTCTCTTGTTCACCTGATTGTCTGATGTTGATCAGCTTTCATGATTCCTTTAACAAGGCTTCACAGAAACAACGTTCTTAGAGTTCTTCCATTTTCTAAAATATTATCTGTGATCCTTGTACTTTAAACTGGTACTTGAATGATACAACATTTATGGATCTTATCCCTCTTCCTTTCTTGAGTACTTGATAGCATGTTTGATTGTCTTCTTGCGTTGAATGTTTGTGGGGAAGTCTGAGGTAAGCCTGAGTTTTTTCCCTCTTGTAAGTGACTTGATCCTTTTACCAGGCTTCCATATGAATTCTTTCTTTTTACAGTCCACTAACTTATCCAGTGTGTGTCCCCCCCCAACTTTTTGTTATGAGAAGTTTTAAATGTAAAAAAGTTGAGGACGTGAGGGTGATCTGTCTGTGACGTCTGTCACCCCATTGATCACCAGGGTTGCTTTGGCTGATCCAGCTGGCTAGGCAGGTGTCCCCTTCCTCCCTTCCCACTCCACGTGTGTCCCTCCATGCTCCATGTGCGTCCCTCCTGAAGCTACACACTAGTTTGAAGAGGACGACGTTCCCTGGTAGAGGAGGACCAGTTTTTGGTCAAGGGTACACAAGTAGCTGCGTTTCCCTGCTAAAACGTCCAGACAAGCTCTCAAGGTCATTTGTAGGAGAATGTAGGGTAGTCACCCTTTCAAAGACTCCAGACACATGCAAATGAGGTGCAGTGTGTGGCAGTTTAAAAAGAAAAGGAAGAAAAAAGTTGAAGGAATTTTAAGGTGTTCACCACTTAGATTCTATGTTTAAAATTTTGCCATACTTGCTTTATTACATCTTTTCATCTGTTCATTCTTGTTTTCAAGATATATCTTCTACACCATAATATTTTAATTTTTCCTTGGGACTAGATATGCCCTTTCAATTCTTGTATTTCTAGAAAGTATAATTGTTGGGTCAGAGAGCGTGCCTTCGGTTTTCATGATTTGAAGGATATTAAGTTGAGAAAACAATTTCTTATATTCTAGCAAATTAAACTTCGAATTTATATTTCCCTCTGTTCCCTTTTGCCATATACCCATGTTTATAATATAATGAAATTATAGTATAGATATAGTTTTATGTTCTTTTATCATTAAATCTGTTAGGTAGGGTGTGGCCCAGTGATGCAGCGGTTAAGTGTGCACGTTCCACCTTGGCGGCCCGGGGTTCGCCAGGTCGCATCCTGACTGCGGACATGGCACCGCTTGGCAAGCCATGCTGTGGTAGGCGTCCCACATAGAAAGTAGAGGAAGATGGGCACAGATGTTAGCTCAGTGCCAGTCTTCCTCGGCAAAAAGAAGAGGACTGGCAGCAGATGTTAGTTTAGGGCTAATGTTCCTCAAAAAAAAAAAAAATCTGTTAGGTAAACATTTTTAAATATTGTTTGGTCTAGTAATAAGTAGTCCCACAGCTGATGTCTTCATGTTAATGGATGCCTTTGGATTTTCTTTTAAGAAAAATTTCTATGAGTGTGATTTACTGGATCAGAAGATAAACATGTCTAGTTATATATATTTTTTGGTAACGTTCCCCTCAGAAAGATATTATCATGGCAGTGTACAAATATATAAACTGTAGTGAAATTTCAGGAGCTTTGAATAGTAGCAACTTACAGAAATAATTTAGTAAATGTAAAATGGCAGTTTTAAGTTGATAGTCCTCCTTCTTAGTATCAGATAATGTGTTTATCTGATAATTTGATTGTCAGATCTTTTGAGCTAATTAGTATACCAATGTTACAAGTGAGGAAATATGATCTGAGAGGTTTAAAGCAGCTTTCTCAATGGGCACAGCTTAAAAGAAGATCCAGCTGTCAGCAAACAAACATTCATGTTCTTGTCTTACTCCTTTTCATGGAAGAAAATGTAATGCATATTTTTAAATTTATTATTATATATGGTAAGAAGTCCCTGAGTTAAGAGCAGCTAACCTACAAAACTATGATAAAATTGTTACAGGATATACTGGATTGACTTTTCTTGAATAATGTATGATTGTAGGACATTTTCCAGACTGGCTTATTGAAGCATTTCCTCGTAGGAATATAAGTAGATTATGTATTTTTGGTCTCTACTACATTTCTCGAGCTAAAGTAATTATATGATAGTTATATGATTCTCAGTGTTGGTCGCACAATGGAGTCATCTAGGAGGCTTCAAGAAAATACCAATATCCGCTCCACATCCCAAGAAATTTTTATTTAATTGGTCTGTGATTACAAAGTACTTAAAAATTCTGATGAGCAGTTAAGGTTGACGACTAATGGTATAAATGTTTAAAATCATTGTTGTCATGTTTAGTGGTTTTTTTTTTCTTTTCACTTTTTTCTCCCCAAATCCCCCCAGTACATAGTTGTATATTTTTTTAGTTGTGGTCCTTCTAGTTGTGCTCTGTGGGACGCCGCCTCAGCCTGGCTTGACGAGTGGTGCCATGTCGGCGCCCAGGATCCAAACCAAGGAAACCCTGGGCCGCCACAGTGGAGCATGCAAACTTAACCACTGGGCCACGGGGCCTGCCCCTAATGGTTTTTGAGATAGCTAAGTGTTTTCTCAACTGGAATACTATCAGAATCACCTGGTTTCTACCCTGTATACCAAAAGGGACTTTCCTGAGCAGAGTCCCCAAATCTGTTTTTTAATTTTTATTTTTTAAGTTTCCCAGTTGAGTCTGATCATCCAGCTTTGGGATACTGGCATTTTGGAAAGAAGGAGTGATTTGGCTGTGTATCCCAGTTGAACCCTTAATAGCTGGATGGTTAGAGCACATTTATGATGTATCTGAATCTTTTTACCATGACATAATACGTAATTCAGTGTGTTTTCAGTCTGTAAAATGGTGAGGATAGTGTTTACCTTTTTAGGGTTGTGATACCTACCTTGTTACAGTTATGTTGTTAGGCTTACTGGTGCATGGAATGTTAACTGTAACTGCTAGTATTGTGTAAGTTCTGAAAACGACTTACTAAGAAACATTCAATTGAGATAAATTATGTTCATTTTAGAGATTTGAGATGATAAGGTGAGAGAAAAGGATGATAAAAGCAATCAATCATTGTGCCATCCAGAGTATTTTATTATTTTAATATTTTTTTAACCTATGCATATATGCACATGTAATTTGGTAAGATTACAAGTATTTTTAAGCACTGGGGAAGTTTATTACTCCTAGGATGTGCAAAACAAATGTACTTTTCATTATCTTTTATTACTCTGGAACTTCTGTTCTTGATGATACAGCAAGGATTGGTGACAGCAGGAATGCCTGTCTTGTTTAAAATGATCTTGTTTAAATCAATATTCAACCTTCCGCCCCCCTTCAAGAATTCAGTCCTCATTGCCCTCCTCATAATACATTGACTTAGTGCAGGAGGAATCTTTTGCTAATTATGTTGAGAGACATGTTCTTTGGGTTCTCACATGCCCTCTGCTGATGTCTCCCAAGGTATCTTTTTGGGCTTTGCACATGCTGCTGGAAAAAAATTCTAATTTGTATAAAAGTATGTAAGTGAGAATCTACCTACTATTTATTCTGTTTTTAGTATGTTCTAGGCCCTATGTTAAAACAGTTGCTACCCATTTTATTTTCTTAACATAAGGATAAATTTTATTATTCTCTTTATACACGTGAAGAAACGGGCCCACAAAAGGTATTGATTTGATTAATTACACAACTAGAAATCTTTCAATATAAAATGACATAATAAAACAAAAAGCTTGATGCATGAATATGAATAAGTTGCTAAATAAGTTGCCAGTAAAAGAGAATCTCTATACTTATAATAACAGAAAGGGAAGCTAAAAGTATTAATGTGTAATCAATATTTTATAGATCTAATGAGGCGTCAAGAAGAACTCAGACGCTTGGAAGAACTCAGAAACCAAGAGCTGCAAAAACGGAAACAAATACAACTGAGGTAAGAGAACATCCTTGTAACATATATGTGAATATATATAGTTTTCATTGTGTGTGTTATTAATAAAAGCTGCCCCCCCCCCGCCCATTATAAACAACTTGTACAAGTTGTATTGGAAAATACAGAAAAAAATAACAAAGTTGTCTATTTTTGACTGCACCTAGGGAATTACTCCACAAAGTAGCATAGTTGTTTATTATGAGTTTTTAGCTGGTTAAGGACGCTTAGCATACACTTTGAACTTACATAAGGAGCTTAGGTATTATTGTTTATAATTTATTGTAAGAATGCTCTATTATTTACTGGACCATTTTCCCAGAGGCACATATGTTTGTATTGCTCTTAGTTTCAACTTTTTCATGTGTATAACACTACTGTAAATGCCTTTATGCATCTTTGTGCTCCTGATAATTTGTTTAGAACAGATTTCTGGAAGTGGAATCTGTGGTGAAAATGGTATGGGCATTTAAAATCTCAGTACGTAATAGACAACTGTGATGGTCAACTTAAAATCTCTTAGGTTATGTAAGAACGTTTTGGAGTGGTTGATCCAAGATGTATAGACAAAAATTAATAGCTTTCCTTGTACGTGCAATATTTAGTTGTGAAATATGAGATGGACATTACTCTTAAAAGTTTCAAAAATCATAATAATTAGGAATGTTATGAACAAAGCTATGATAGATTAAAGCAAACTTAAAATTTTGTTTTTGAAGGTGTTATAACAATATAAGTGCTTGTGGTGGGAAGGTGCTCATGGGAAATAAAAAATAAGGACAGGTAAAACTGAATGGGTGTGAAGTGTCTTCACAGTCTGGAGATAGGTAGTGTGCAGTATATTTTATTGTATTTTCTCCAACTTGTACCTGATTATATAAATGTATATAGTTCCGTTTTGGAACTACTCTAATTTTACTCTAACCTACTTAATCCCAAATTATGGTACTTTAACAGGCAGCATCAGCGTTCTAACTTGGGAGTTGTTTGAAACTTCAGAGTCTCAAACCTCCCCCAGAAATACTGAATCAGAGAATGTAGGAGTGGGGGCCGGCCCCCTGGCCGAGTGGTTAAGTTCCTACACTCCGCTTTGGTGGCCCAGGGTTTCCCCGGTTCGAATCCTGGGCGTGGACATGGCACCACTCATCAGGCCATGCTGAGGCGGTGTCCCACGTACCACAACTAGAAGGATCCACAACTAAAAATACACAACTATGAACCAGGGGGACTTTGGGGGAGAGAAAGGAAACATCTTAAAAAAAAGACAAAAGAAAATGTGAGAATGGACCCCAGCCACGTGTGCTTTAATAAATCCTCTTGGTGATACTAATGCATCACAAAGTTTGAAAACCACAATTGTATACAACTCCCCACATGAACTCCTTAGATGATGAGGGATTTTTTTTCAACTTCTCTCTTGTTGTTCCTTTTCCTATTATGTAAATATGTTAAAGTCTCTTCTACTTTTACAAAGAAAGGGAAGTCTCCCCTCCCCTAACATAAAATCATATCTGAATCCAGTTTTCTCCTCTTATATTTTCACTTGACAGCTAGGCATTTATAATTAGTACCCTACCCTTAACATGCTGAAAAAAAAAATAATTAAAACCAAACAATGTGGGAGAACTCAACCCAAAATAGTGTCTAAAAATATAACAGATGGGGGGCCGGCCTCTTGGCACAGCACTTAAGTTCGTATGTTCCACTTCGGTGGCCCTGGGTTTGCCAGTTCAGATCCCAGGTGCGGACATGGCACCGCTTGGCAAGCCATGCTCTGGTAGGAGGTCCCACATATAAAGTAGAGGAAGATGGGCACGGATGTTAGCTCAGGGCCAGTCTTCCTCAGCAAAAAGAGGAGGGTTGGCAGCAGAGGTTAGCTCAGGGCTAATCTTCCTCAAACAAAAGAAAGAAAAAAGAAAAGTAACAGATGGGGGCCAGCCCCGTGGCTGAGTGATTAGGTTCACATGCTCTACTTTGGTGGCCCAGGGTTTCGCCGTTCAGATCCTGGGTGCAGACATGGCACCGCGTCTCAGGCCACACTGAGGCAGTGTCTCACATGCCACAACTAGGACCCACAACTAAAATAGACAACTATGTATTGGTGGGATTTGGGGAGAAAAAGCAGGAAAAAAAAAAAGATTGGCAGCAGTTGTTAGCTCAGGTGCCAATCTTTAAAAAAAAAAAAGCAAAAAATAACAGATGAACGTTCCTATATTACATTGGATAACATTATCACACTGATAAGAGATGGGAAGAAAATAAAGAACTGAAATAACTTTGGAAAACAGTATCTTGACTGGATACTATAGGCTGATGACAAGAAGACCAGTATATAAATTCTGTAATCTAGTTAGTAAACATGTTTCTCATAGAGATAGGGGTTAATATTTCTGAAACTACTTTTTTTCCATAAGACTTTCTGATCAGATCTTTATTGAAAATAATGTGTATACTTTTGTAAGTGAACAAATTAATAAACATAGATAATGAGACCCACGTTTCTCATTGTTGGAGAAAGAAAGAGAGCGAGGAGAAAGGCTAAGATTAAACTGAATCCTGTGGTGTCGAATTGGAATCATAGATATCAGTATGAACTTAGTGGTATTTAGTGTAGACAGATGTAGAAATATAGACGTGTGTTATGTATCTATGCCTGTGTTCTTATACATACGTATATTTCATAGCCCTGTCCACCTAGAAGCAGTGATGTCTCAGTAACAGTGCGCACATCTAGTGGTCAGATTTTTGTGTCAAAACACTGTCCTCCAATAAAAGAAACTAGGGTTTTTGGAAAAGTGGTTGATTCCAGGACCGAAAAGTCCAAGATGAGCCTGGAATATGTTGCACCAAAGAGTAAGAAAGTACTCAAAAAAGAATGGGCTGTGTTGAAAGAACACAGAAACGAAACTGAAGGAGCTCCTAATGGCCAAAGTTGGAACAATTTCAACAACAAAATAAAAAATGATAGTATTAGATTTTAAAGATTTTATTTTTCCTTTTTCTCCCTGAAGCCCCCCAGTACATAGTTATATATTTTAGTTATGGGTCCTTCTAATTGTGGCATGTGGGACAGCATGGCCCAAGGAGTGGTGCCATGTCCACGCCCAGGACCCGAACCGGTGAAACCTTGGGCCACCGAAGCGGAGTATGTGAACTTAACCACTGGGCCATGGGGCTGGCCCCATCTGAGGTTTTCTTGACAAAAATTTATCACATTATGCCAGTCATGAGAAAACTTAAACCGAAATTGAAGGACATTCTACAAAAATAATCAGTTCTCTTTAAGTTCATCAAAGACCAGGAAAGACTGAACTGTCACAGACTAGAAGAGATTAAGGGGAAATAATAATTAAATGCCATGCGGGTTTCTGGGTAGGGTCCTGGAACAAAGGAGAGATGTTAGTGGGGAAAGTGGTGACATTTGAGTAAGATGTGTAGTTATCTGTAGTGTTGTACCAGTGCTAATTTCTGGTTTTCATAATAGTACTATAGTTATGTAGGAGGCTAATATTAGGGGATGCTGCATGAGGAATATATAGGAATTGTACTATTTTTGCAACTTTTCTGTAAATTTAAAGTTAGAAATAAATAAAAAAAATACCCCAGGTATTGGGGATACAGTGGGAACAAAAGACACAAGCTCTGCCACTGTAGAACTTACTGTAATATAGGAGGGAGGCAGACATTATTTGGAATGATCAGATTGTTAAAAAGAAAGTGAAGTGCACGAAAATAGTATGGAGTACTTACTGGAATTTTTCATTGGTTGCCCAGTCTCAGCATAGGTGGAATACTGGTTTCTTGATGTGATAAGAATTCTCTGTACATGGTAATTTTTCATTGAATGGTTTTTCATTAATTTTATTTACTCTTCAGGGGTATATCAGATTCAGTTTGAAATTCAGATAAGTGTGTACTAACAGTAAAAATACCTCAACAGTTAGGTGACAGTTCGATGGGTAACCTTATGCTTGGCTATGTTCAAGCAGATACAGGCAGTGATAAATCTGTCAACAGTCTTAACCTGTGCATAGTGGCTGGGGAGGTTCTTTTCAAATTAACTTTAAGAATCTTGATTTAAGACATGTGAACAGCTTGTCTTAAAATTGAGCAGTTTTGCAGCATGTATCAGGGAAAGGGGAAAAGTTGTGTCTTGGAACTTAATCATCAAATATATTCTGTACTTGCAAGACAAAGCAAGTAAAGAAAACTAGAGCAGTTAAACTGAAGAGATTTATCTAACTGAGGCTGCTGCCACATAAGGTAGCTTTAATTGGTAGCAAGTAGAGTTTGGATTCTGCATTTTTGTTTTACGTTAGTTGGAAGATTGAAAAAACTGGTTTAAGAAAGTGTATTTTGAGAGAAATTGTGTAATTTGGAGTGTACAAGTTTCTGGTTTTCCCTTCAACGCTACAAATTACTTTGTTTTTTATGGGTCACTTAATTCTTTAGAGGCTGTAGCCATGAAGAAGGAAGACCAGGCAAGCTGGTTCAAGCTGGGACTTGACCATGCCGTAGTTGTTCGTTTGTTTTGTTTGTTCGTTTATTCCTTGGTTGCTTTTCTCACCACCCTCCTCCTTGCTCACCTACCCAAATACCCGTTCTTCCCCTATTTATGTCATTGGACATAGAAAGATTGTATGATGTACTAAGCCCTCTGGTTTGTGTGGAGGGCATAGCGCTGAACAGGAACAGGAGCAAGGTGTTTTTATCCGTTAGTCGTATCAGAGCTTAGTGCCTAGAACCTCTCAGTTTTTCAAAGTCCTGCAAAAATAAGAGAACTGAAAATAATTAGTGGGCTTCACATTAAATTGTAAAATTGAGGTTTTATCAGTTTCCAATTAAATATAAAATGAAGGCTGTTAAAATTTGTCACACTTCTTTACTTATTAGTTCCATTTGTGAATATAACCTAGGATGTTATCCTTGACCAGAAGAGACATTAAATATAAAAATGATCATGAAAGTATCTTGTGGAATAGAATAAATTAAAAGCAAACATATATATATACAATAGGTAATGTTTCTGTATGCTGTCTGTAAATTTAGATCATGGAATTGTCAGTGTGGTATAATCACAACTTAGTTCAAAATAAAATAGAAATTCTGGGATTTATAGACCAAGGAATGGAGGGAGAAAAATACCTAAGTTTTAATGTGATTTTACCTTTTACTATGTATTTTTTTCTCCTGATTTGTAAATCTAGTCTCACATTTTATGAGAAAAAAATTGTTTTAACGATAGGAGAAGTCCATTATAAGTTCTGTTTGAAATACTTTATTTGGTTTTTATTAAAATGTTATGGCAATACATATTTAAAACAAAACTCACATGATACATATGTGTATAAAATAAAACGGGCAATCCTCTTATTCCTCAAATTATTCTCATGTGATATAAACTTTTTCATACCCTCTTCTGTGCTCATAGAAATGATTTTTAAAAGCAGTAATAGGAATACCATTCTTTTACTTGCCTTTTTTCTAACAATTGTGCCTTAGACGTTCTTTCATGTCACTGAATGCAAATCTACCTCTTTTTAACAGTTATATTATGTTCTTTGGCACCACTGAACCATAATTGTCACTCATTTATAATTGATTGCGTCTTTAAGCTTTTGCCTTTAATGAATGCCCTAGTGCATATCTGTGTGTACATACATCCCAGCGCACTTGTGCAGATATTTCTGTTCACTTTACTGGCAGTGGACTTTCACGTTTAAAATTATATTATGTGCCACAACTTGGTCCTCAACAATGTCATTATTGCAATTCTGAAGATCAAAACCTTTGAAAACCAAAAGCTTTTTCATGTATCATTCATTGGCTGGATCGGATATGAGCCTATTTGACGCTAAAACATGACCTGCACTTCGGTTGTGGGTCATGTCACACCTATAGTATTTCCACAGAATGTGAATTTTTATCTTACTGCAGAGATGTTAATGTGGTTGATTTATTGGGTCCTGCCTCTGATACCACTGGGGATGTAATAATAGTATAACCTTTTTAAAATTGGAAAAACTCAGTTTCAGAACACGTGTCTTTAGAGTTTTTGGATAAGGGAATTTTTAACCTGTACTTGTATGCACTTTTCAACAGTTAAGAATGCGAAAGTATTTTCTGTTTTTAATTTAATTTTATTTTATTATTACTACTTTTTTATTTATTTTTTTTTTGTGAGGCAGATTAGCCCTGAGCTCACATCTGCCACCAGTCCTCCTCCTTTTGCTGAGGAAGACTGCCCTGAGCTAACATCTGGCCCATCTTCCTCTACTTGATACGTGGATGCTGCCATAGCAAGGCTTGCCAAGCATTTTGTAGATCCGCACCTGGGGTCTGAACTGGAGAACCCCGGGCTGGCGAAGCGGGAACGAGCAAAACCTAACCACTGTGCCACCAGACTGGCCCCATGAAAGTACTTTCTTGATAGTAAAATTTATGATTATGTTAATATCAAGGAAGTGGATTAAGCTGTTTACTTGAATGTTCAAGTTACTTTGAATAGAGTTGTATATTGGGGGGGTTAAACAAGAATCGTAAAATAGCCCAGATTTTGCTTGAAAATCCTTGGAAACAGTGTTTTGTTACTTGCATGTGGTCTGACATGAAGTTCTAACAGCAGGTTTTTCTCCTGGCTGTGGGAGACATCATCGTTTCTTTTGGTTCATGGACTTAGGTTTAGGAAGAGCGTTGTAGAACAAGAAAAGGATCTTGAAATTCGAGTATTACATTCAGTGAAGAAAGGTATTTATAAGAGTAACCTGGCAAATGAAATCTACTGAGGGGCATCACTATTAATCTTCATTATTTAAATTACTTTTTTGGTTTTGAGTGGAGGGCATGTATATATTTTAATTTGCATTGATTTAAATGTCAATATAATATAATTTTATAGGTTTTCCCTTTTAATCATATTATAAATAATTACTGATTTAATAGTAATCCTGCACACATAGATAGTTTTTTTGCATGCTTGATGAATATACCTCTGGGGCAGAGGTTGGGAAACTTGTTCTGTGAAAGGGCTAGATAGTAAATAATTTAGGCTTTGCAGATCGTATATTCTCTGTCTCAACTACTCCACACTGTACTAGCCTGAGGTTAGTCATAGACAGTAGGTGAATTATTGTCCTATAAAACTTACTTTACAAAAGCAGATAGTAGGCTGACACCTGCTCTGAGGGACCTCCTCAGCGGGTTGATGAAATGGAGGAGACAGGGTTTGTTAAGGCTTCCTTCTGCACATGATAGAATCATTGTCCAGGCAGTCTGGTCCTCTGCAGTGGATAGGTCTGAGTGTCTTTAAGAACTCTCTCGTGCCAGTGATAGATCCCAGGTTATTTTTCTTTATACAGTAGTAGAGTACATTTGAGCTCTTGGACTCCCAGTTTCTTGTCTGTAAGCATGTAAACTACCCTGGTTATATGTTGTTACTTTATTTTTTTGATTTACCCTAGTTGAGTTACTTTATTTCCTTGGTTTACTTGATTTATTAAAGGCTTAGAGCAACATAGAAGAAGGAAGGTAAATGTAGTAAGCCCATAATTATTCACAGATTTGGCAAAATGTAACTTGTATAAATGATTGTTTTACCTGAAATAAACTACTCAATTATGGCCTCATGTCAACCATGCTGAAATTTTTATCTGAAAATCTTTCAGACATGAAGAAGAGCATCGTCGTCGTGAGGAGGAAATGATCCGACACAGAGAGCAGGAGGAACTTAGGCGACAACAAGAGGGCTTTAAGCCAAACTATATGGAAAATGTAAGTAAAATACCAGTTAACTTAAATGATTTTATAGTGTCACGTGGATGATGTAGATTTAAAATTCTTTACATATTGCTTTATATAGTAATATATTTTCTAATCTTTCTGAATTTGTGATGTTTATGTTAAACTAATGATTTTCTTAACCTCTTTCAGGAAGTAAATTAAAATTAGTTTCTGAGATAATACTCATGTTTTATGAAATGGATGTTAAATTTTTCTCGATTTTACTTTATGTTTTTTAAATATATGCTTCTAAATTAGAAATCTTGATAAATCCATCATCTCTTCTTGACTGATTCACTGTTTACTAATGTTAAAAATTCGTTATTTTGGAAGATTTTAGACGTATGCAAAAGTATACTAGTATGTGCTCATAACCCACCCATAACAGTTATCAACACACGGCTGATCTTTTTCATCCTTAAATATACCCACTTTCCTGAATTATTTTGTGTGAAATCGGTGACCTCCTATGATTTCATTCATAAGTATTTCAGTATGTATCTCTAAAACGATAAGGACTCTTTTTAAAAATATCTTTATCATATCTTAAAAATGGTCAGTTATTTAATATTAACATGAAAGCCCACATCTGCCCAGGTCATAGAAGTTTTTTTTTTTTTTTTTACAATTGGTTTCTTCAAATTGGCTGATAAATACAGTCTTTTTAGTCTGTAGGTTTTCTCTCACTCTTTTTTTTTTCCCCCCTTAATTTTTCAAGAAACATCCTTGTATAGATCACATCTCATATCCTGGATTTTGTTGGTTGTATCATCGTAGGGATATTTAACAGGTTTCTTTATCCTTGAGTTTCTCATAGACTGGAGTTAGTTCCAAAGACTTGATTGGACTTAGGTTTTTGTTTTAGGGAGGCAAAATGGTAGGACAAACAAGGATGCTTCAAATATGTTAAAATCCACAAGTTCTTAATGGCGACTAACAAAGTCTCCTTCACCTTAGATGAATGCCAGCTTAACAACACGTTCTGAAAAATATTTACTAGTATTTTTTTCTATCTAGCTCTTCAAAAGCCATGATTCTTCAGTAAGTTTCTGAGGCTAAAACTATTAATTCAAAGCATTGGTGCCTTTTTTTCTGACCTTCTCTGTCCCTAGAAAAAATTTTAAACTTTTTTTATTAAAAAGAATACACAGTAAAATAAATCCTAACTTGTATAGCAACCAGAAAATTTTATCTTTCATCAAGTAGTAAATATCCTTTGAATGAAAATGTGGCATTTATATTCAGTTAGAAAAGTTTTTTATTATAAGTGACACTGAAAGTTTAATTTAATTGATTTTTAAATTCCTTTACCACATTAGTTGAGAAGGTTTTTTAAAGCATTGTAAATTTTTTTTTTTTAAGATTGGCACCTGAGCTAACAACTGTTGCCAGTCTTTTTTTGTTTTTTTTTTCTTCTGCTTTTTCTCCCCAAATCCCCCCAGTACATAGTTGTATATTTTAGTTGTGGGTCCTTCTAGTTGTGGCATGTGAGACACCGCCTCAACGTGGCCTGATGAGCGATGCCATGTCTGTACCCACGATCTGAACCGGCGAAACCTGGGCCTCCAAAGCGGAGGGTGCAAACTTAGCCACTCTGCCATGGGGCCAGCCCCTGTAAAATTTTTTTGAGTGATTTCTAGGATTATTTACAATTCTCTTTTCCTCCTTTGATACACAGCAGTTGCTTGGTGACATACTTTAAACTGTGGTCTTAAGTTTTTTGGTTGTTAGATTTGAACATAAATCTGTTGGATTTATCAATGTGTGAATATTTTATGATGTTATAAAAGAATGTGGAACTTAAAAAAAATACAGGCCATATTTTGAAAATTAGTAACCAGTGTCTTTATCTTCAAATATAATGAAGATGTACACCATGTGTGATATTTTTCTTAGAGAAACTTTATTTCGTTCCATTGAGAATTAAGAAATTTTTCCGAGTCTTTTTATGTACCTCAACATTTCTTTTGCTAAAGTGCTTACTTACAGTAAAGTTGGTGGAATTAGCTTTCTTAATATGTTGCTGGCATAAACTTTACATTCTTGGAGAGAATGTGTAGCTATTTGTAATAATGTCATAAACATAAATCATTTGGGGTATAGAAGGAAATGATCAAGTAAAATATATTCTGCTGCTAAACTTAAGTTGGCAATATCATAAAGTTGATTGCAGACTATTATTTGAAATCATTTCACAATTTTTAAAAACATATACCACTGTTTTTTATATGTTCTGTGGCATTTAATATAGTTATAATTAATTAAGCACAGATGGTTTTAACTTTACTTTTCTATTCAAAAACTATTTGGGAATTTTGCTGCAATTTAAAATGGAAACTACAAATTCTTATTTTAATTTAAAAACATTTGTATGTTGAAAATTCATTTTAATGGCAGGTAGTATTGTATAGATATCCAATGAACTTTGAGAATAAACTAGTTAGATATTTAAAGATACTCATGGTGGATTTATTGGCCTTTCAGAAATAGATTATTGTTTCACAAGATTATGCTCTTAGAAAATTTAGTTGATTATATATTTCAATATTAAGATATTTTGTTTTCAAGTAGTTACTTGAAGTATGTGTTGCATATTTGAAGCATCACAGATTAATATGGCTACAGCAGAGGTCTCCAAACTATAGCTCGGGCTCACTGCCCATTTTCATACCACCCTACCACAGAGCTGAGAATGGTGTTTATATTTAAGAGTTGTTGGATAACGAAAAAAATAAAAAGAATATTAGAGTATCTGTGACCCACAAAACCTAAGATACTTACTCTTTAGCCCTTTACAGAAAAAGTTTGCTGAACCCTAGGATACTGTGTTGCTGACTTTCTTTTATCTTTTATTTTTATTTTAATACTCACATGGGCCACATAAGTTACTATCTTCTTAATTTTCTGAAGAGAAACAGTATTTAAAATACTATGCAACAGTGTAATTAAATGTTTAAAGGAAAATACAGTCTTGGTTCTATTTTTAGATTAGAAATTATGAAATAGACCCAAGGTTTTCATCTATTTGGTGTCAGTTTTATTTGGTTCCTAGCTCCATAATGCTCGTTAACATAAACTAATCAAGTACTAAAGAAATACTAATAAAAAGCTCTTTGCAGGTCTTGACTATTTTGTGTTAATAGAAAGAACATTGAGGCAATTGTTACATCAGTTATTCTTCATTTACTTTAAAAACTGTCTGGAAAAAATTGTTAAACAAGTTTAATGTTTCTTTTTGTTTTTAAAAGCTTTGAAGTTAGGCCCTCTTATGTGCTTTCTCTTTTGTCACTGTTCAGTTTAAAGGGAGGAATCAAATGGTAAGTGTTCAGCTTGCCCAAGTACTAAGAGTAAAGTAGATTTACTTGGTTCATTTTAAGATACCACCTCTCACTTGTTTGTAATAGTCCTATTAGACATAGTCCAACACAACTAATAGTCTGGGCTTTGAAGTATAAAATAAATACTGATTTCCATATTTTTTATCTTGAATAATTTTTTTTAATGTAACAAAAGGTGAGGGTAAACACACATCGTGTCTGATTGTGTTTTCCTTTGTTAGCCTTCAGCTTTATCATAATTTTATAACGTGAGTATGTTTTTAAAGGTTTCAAGGATATGTCAGCAGTTCATCAATTAGAAGTTGTCAGTTTTATTTCATACCTTATTTCTCCTTAAAAGAGGTCAAACTCTTTGATAATAGCTCTGGTAATTATACGTTTATTTTTCGCTCCTCTGGCATACCACATCTTTGACTGCCATAACAATGTATATATTTTTATGGTGCGCCTTAATTACATTTAGGTTTATCTTCACCATAGTGTATGAGTGTATTTAAACCATTTTGTAGATAGTATTTACTAGGTTGAGATTTTCTACTCAACCACAATTTTATTGCTTTTGGACACATCACAAGAGGTTATTCTGTTAACAATAGCAATGTATAAGATTGTCTTTTATGATTGTCTTGTGATTGTTTTCATATTAAGTTGCTCCATTCATTGTAGATTAAGTAGTTTAAACGTTTCAGTACTGCAGCGTACCACTCTTTATTCATGGGTTGGGTTGGAGTAAGGGGGAAATTTTAATTAGAATATATTTTTTTTGTTTTTTTTGTTTTTGATTAGCCCAGGGCTAAGATCTGCTGCCAATCCTCCTCCCTTTCTTTTGAGGAAGATTGGCCCTGAGCTAACATCCGTGCCCATCTTCCTCTACTTTATATGTGGGGCGCCTGCCACATCATGGCTTGATAAGCAGTGCGTAGGCCCACACCCCTGATCTGAACCTGCAAAACCCGGGCTGCCGAAGTGTATTGTGTGAACTTAACCACTGCACCACTGGTCCAGCCCCTAGAATATTTTTTCAGTGCAGTTTCCTAGGGTAAACTTTGCTTTCCTGGGAAAATGATAATGTCATAAAAATATTTGTGTCATTCTAGCTTTAGTAGTTGTATCAAGTAGTTATAAAATACTTTGTTTAGGAAAATTTGAGCAGATTTTAGATATTACTTTGTTTTGAGAAGTTTCTTTTTCTGGTATGGTAAATATTAGTTTGATTTTTGTCAAGAAAAGAATAGCACTTCAGATCTGTTTCAAAATACATACATGAATTGATATTGAAGAGTTTTTATTCCTATTTGATTAGGTAGAAATAGCCCTGGATGTTTGAACACACGTGCATAATAAACCTGAATATAAATGTATTTTATATACTAAGGCAATAACTTGACCCAGGTATGTTCCTTTCAGCTGTTCCATTGTTGCTCCCCAGGATTACTAAACAGTGAGGCCAAAAGCATTAAGGAGATGCAGCCAGAGGCTAAGGGTGTGATTCCTCTTCCATGGTAATATTTTTCAAATAGTGCATATTAAACTCTCAGGGAGCTGTTTAAAAATGTGATTTCTTAGGACTCCAACCTACAAATTGATTCGTTTTGGGGTGCAGTAGATTCTGATGTGTTGTCCATTGATCATGTTTTTGGCTAAATTCAGCAG